ATTTAAGAAGTCGAAAAATGTTAACCAAAGTAAACTTTCAACTGTTTAAAGTGTAAGTTTTCTCGGGTTGTGTGTACAATATGAGCCAAATTATTACATAATGGGTCATTATTTATAATAGTCAGCCATTATGGATATCATTACTCGGGTCTAGGTTAGGTTTCAATCAACTTCTAGTTTGTCATTATTTGTAATGATAGGACATTATAACAGTTAATTATTTAGCCCATAAAATACGTATACTATCCAAGAAGATATTCTTGTCAAATTGTAATCTCGTTTTTATTTAACCGTTAATATAAGACTATAATACTGTTCACATAAAATAGAGCACATAACTTTCGTTTATATACAGTTTAATTTAAATAAATTAATAATTTGCATATCCTTTGCAAATTTGATCAGTATATGTAATACAAAGTTAAAGGGTTAATGTGTTATTTAATTAATTTTACTCAGATTTCTCATCCACCCGTTCTATAATGATATCTAATGTGATTAATTATTGTTCTTTTACATAACAAAAATAGTTGTCTTTCAATGTATTATTCAATCCAGCAATGGAATGAGCTATAATTCTTGTATATGTAAAGGAACAAACAAAAATTACAGAGAACTTTACTCTTTGCAAATGACTTTAAGTAATGAGACTAATTAGAGAAATACGCATTTTTCGAGAATTAACACGACTAGAAATATAAATAAACACAAAATATTTGATAACCAATTTGCATTGACATTTGGGAAGTAATTAAAATCTAAGGTACACTAAATTATACATGAAATGGGTTTCAATTAAAATATTAAATTAAATTTAAATTGATCTGAAACTCTGCCAAATCAAATATGAATTAATTGTGCAATAAATATGCATCAAATTGAAACTAGATTCTTGTGAAATTTGTGCTACTTTCATCAAACGTCGATCGAATGCAGAAGATTTTATCATGTACTCCTACCTTGTACTGTTACTGAATTTATATGTTTTTCCAGTACTCAATGAAATGTAGTCCATCTATTAGGAACACTTTCACACGCAAAACATTGAACCTCACACAATCAAGGACACACGAAATAAATCAAACGAAAACTGAAACAAACAAAATTACAATATCGAAAATCCAAACGAACAGAAATACGAAATTGAAAATTGCAGTAGTCGAAATAACAAAATCGAAAATCCAAACGAGCAAAATTACAAAACTGAAGATCGCAACAGTGGAAGTAACAAAATCGAAAATTAGAACACACGAAACCACAAAATCGAAAATTAAAGTGCATGAACATTAAGAAACACTAGAACATCAGTGAAATATGTTTAATAAATAATATTTAAATCTACCAAATGATTTTTTTCTTAATTGCAATATAGAGTTCGAGACTTTATACATACTCAGAAAGAATATTAAAATCCCTTCGTGAATAAATTTCTGAGTCACTGTAGGTTCCCCCTTCAATTTTTATCGTGTAAAATCAACCTTTAGAAAAAGCTTCCCTGGAACTCATGAATTTTAAAATTTTAATTCTTCTTTCTCTTGTTCTTAATAGTTGGTGGGCCACGTGATCAAAGGGGGTGGAATAGCGATCACAGGACAAGAGCAACGTCAACTGGGCGGCGGTTTCTTGGAAGGCGAGGGTGCACCTAAAGGTGAGACTTATATACAGGGTGTAGCCATTCAATTTTATCGTCTAAAATATTTTCATAATTAACCCATTTCACTGGATTCATTAATATAAAATGTTAAAGTGCTCTTCTAAGAAATTAATTATGTATAAACCCTACATAAACTAGATCATCGTTTTAATAACGGAAACACGTTGCTAATTCAATCTTCTACATCAAGAAATTTTAATCACCTTACTTTATAATTAGAATCTCAAATTCAATTTCAAATTTGAATTAATTAACACATGTACCAGGAAAATTTATATGTTAAAGAGATAAATTAAAGGTATAAGTTGGTCAAATAAGTTGAATTAAAATAATGATTTTTTTAGGGTCCGGTGGTTATCTCGGAGAGTTTACAATGGTTCAATTGTACGGGGTTGCGTTGACTGCTGGGAAAGCACACAAGGATCACAAACACCATCACGCCCACCACTACGAACACGACACAAGTAACAACACGCCAAGACCCACCCGTCCGCCCGTGACTGGTCCACCCCTTCCGCCGAACCCTTTCCTCACTGGAGGACAAAT